GCACAATTTACACCATTGATGGCATAACTGACCTACAAATAGGATAAAAGGAATCTGCTCTCACACGTCCAAGTAATGCAAACACACACAACCTTCAGCAAAATAATTCTATTTCTAAGTGCACCAGTTTCACATCAGGGACCAGTATGGCAACAGCTCTGGTACTTGAATAATGAGTTCATACTCAGGTGAATAGAAGATGCAAATAGAAGAGAGAAAATTCAGAGACCTGGTGAGTCCAACATATGAAGTGTGTGGGAGTGCTAAATAACTGCAGGATGGGTAAGTGGCACCTAAATAAAATGTGCCTTAGTGTTTTAAACTCTCCAATGTGCTGACGAGCTGCATGAAGATTTACAGTGCATTAGAAATAAATGGTGGCAAGAACAACAGAATATGAACATCAACATTAGTAGAGCAGGTAGTCTTGTGAATGCCTTAAGTGGCAGCTCACTGTTAAGCAGCACGTTGAGCTTTAGAGCAACTTCAGGAAACGTATTTTAAGCTAGCAATTTACAGTTAGCAATAAGTAGCTCAATTTCTTTCCATATCATAAAGAAGAATGAGAAATTAATTCATTAACTTACCTTCCCACAAGGAGAAATTACTGGTACTGAAGGGCTATTTTTGGAACAAAAGCTGGCTGCAGGTCAAATTAAAATAGAATGATTTATTAGTAGTATTCTTTTTATTAAATTATTAGTAATATTGTATAGTGCTGTGTAATTAAGATCTTAAGACCTACCCAGGAAACCAATTTGTCGATTGTTTTCAAATTAAAGCTGTATATTTTTCTAGCAGATATGCTACTGCTGAAGTAACTCATGACAAATTTGTGTTCTACAAATGGTTAAAATAGGTGACCAAATATCTATCAATCTATTATGGCCTAAACAATAAGGCATGGGAATCAAACTAACTGCTCCTTGAGTAGAGCAGCTTAAGCAGAGCTACATTTAGAACAATGCCAGGTCAGATCCAGAGATCCCGCTGAAGCTGAAGTTCAGGCAGAAGCTGCTGTAATGAAGAGGAACAGCAATTAGTCGGGGCTCAAGAACACAAGCGTGCATCTGGAAAAGTTTAGCAGCATAAATAAGGGTCTTAACCTTATTGAGTGAAGTGGAAGAACACCATGGGAACCCTCTCTCTGAAGCTTAACGGTGCAAACTGTAATGGAAGAGTATCAAACGCTGAAAGGGCTAAGGAAAAAACAGAAAAAGCGCGAGCTGACAGTATAAATTGACATTGTGGGAGGTAAGGCCCTAGAATTGGAAATTATTCTGAGAACATCTCCCTTCTTTACCTGTTTTGCTTTGTGATTGAAAGCTGTTTAATTAGAAGAGACCTTCCTAGGGGAAGCAGCTGTATTTTGTTGTCTAGCTCTTGAAACTCACTTTACCATTTTCTTATTAGCCTATATAAAGGCTACATAAAATAAAACGCTCTTGTAAGGCAGGAGGATGAGGGAGATAAGAGAGAAGAGTAAAAGGAGTTCTGCCTGGTTATTTTTCAAATGCCTGGTGGGAGCGTGCAGCTCATTTTCAAAGGTTGAGCATAGGGATCTTAAAGACACTGACAATTAAGAAGACAGGAAGCTGTGGGCTGATTTCAGATTCCAAGATGCATTGGGCTATGCATCCCAGATAGGTAGGGGATAAGTTTGGGAAAACACTGAAGTTGACAATCAGAAGGTAAGGTTACTTACCGGTAACCAGAGCCTGTAAGATGCATTGTCCACAGGTGCTTCCACGCTCTGCTTCACTCACATGCTGTGTAGTTTCACACTCCTTTTTCACCAAAGCAATACTTACAAGATATGCTTGATGCTTGAATAAGCACTAGCATGTGTCATACAGCTCAACCAATACATCTCAACTGTAGAAGCTCAGAGAGCTATTAAAGGGCTATCAGAAGTGAGAAAGGAGAAGGAAGTCGTATGTACATAAGAGCAATAATTTTAAAGAATATCCACGCCTGGTAACTTCATTTATCTTATTTGTATTGCAGGTAAATTCAAGTTACTGCTTGACATCTAACTCCTCTGGTCCAATTCTGATTCCACATCCTCAGGTTCTACAAGAGGCTGTCTCAGAATCTTTCGGAGGAACAAAAAATGCATCACAACCTTTGATGTATAAAGTACTTAATTTTTCCCATATTTGTGTTGCCTGGTTCAGTTGCCTGAGAGTACAGTTTATAAAGAGAGAAAAGATTAAGTGTTGTAAAATTAACCCTTGCAGACTGTTGCATTTTTAATCAATCAAGAAAAGGAAATTGTTGGGTTGAAAAGAAGTGAAATCTTCAGACCAGGGATGTAATTTTTTCCTCTTCATCTGAGACTGAGAGAAAAAGATGAATATGTGCTGTGTAACATTTGAAGGCTCTGTGAAACTGTTGAATGACAGTGCTGAGTATGCCCTTGCATGGTTGAACACACACCAAGCTTCAGTATTGTGAATGCAATCCAAATTCACTTGGGCAGGCCAACACCATATAATCCTGAATTCCTGCTTCCACTTGTCTGTAGTTCCACAGGACATTGGCTAAAAGACAGCCAGAGCTTAAAGCCAATATTAAAAAATGGTGCCTGCCCACTATCTTGTGCAGCTGCGTTAGTAATGGCAAGACAGCGTTCAGTAGAACAAGTGTCATGACTGCAGTGAACTAAATTTCAAGACACGCAACTGTAGTTTTTATTTTCCCTCTGCTCAAAAATTTCTAATTTATAATGTCTCCTTTAATCTGCTTACATTCCAGATAACATATCAGCTGCCCCTTAAAATTTGTAACCAGAAAATACTGTGATAAAACCTACGATTGTACATCTTAAAACAATTTTATAATCACTTTGGCTGGCTACTTTTGCCGTAAGCTCTATATGAAGTATAATAGAACTGGTGGGTACTGGAGGGTGAGTGCTTATACTGACCCGTCACACAAACCCTGTTAAGAGAGAATCCTAACACATGCCCTTGAGAGCACCCTAACCATACACATATAAATGTATATATGAACACCATTATCTCACCACAGAAATGCATGGTGAACAAACTTTCAAACTATGTGCAGGGTTTTAATCATCTTCCCTCAAAAATGGGGTAGCTGAACAAAAAGAACGCACAAGAAAGTCAACAAGAACAAATTAGAGGCACTGAGCAGATTCTATGCAAAGATTCTACAGTCCAAAACTGTTCATCTTGGAAGACAGATGCATTGGGGGAGTGAAATGGCACATAAAAGAACTAGGAAGCTATGAAAATGGTCAAAGGGGTAAACAGAGGACAAACACTTCTTGGTGAAAAAAGGCTCTGGAGCCCAGTTAAATTACTAAGCTAACAAAGGTACATACTTTCAAACAAAGATAATTAAATCTTGCAACCCTGTCAAAGGATATAATAGAAGCTCTAAATACAATTACTTCTGGCATCAACGTGATAGACTTGCAGTGAGCTTCACAGTCTGATTACAAACACCATAAAATGTCCCTGACCGTGTAAGGCTACAGCAGAGAGCAGAAGCTAAGCATGTTTTAAAGAAAACAAAACCGAAACAAACCCCTGCAGTTTTATATACATATATAAAATGTAATAGGTAATATATGTAATGTATAATATATACATGAATAAATATATGAATGCTATATATGATTTAAGTATATTTATATATCTGATTAGTATTAATAAATAAAAACCTATGTGTTTGCAGATACACACGACATGAAAATTCTTTTCAGAAATTCTGAAATTGCTGTACAGTAACAGCTAAATTTTAATTTGTTGAACAGAATTCCAAGAGCTGACAATTACAGCTTTTAATCAACTGAAAACAAGCAAGAATTGATAAGTGGATTCTGAATCAACATAAATGCAAATTTGTGCCCCATATAAAAAAACCTACCTACTTGGAAAAACTTGCCAAAAGAAGTGGTAGTCTCCATCTCCTGATGCATACAATCCAGATAAAAGATAAAAGTTTTCAAACCTAAGTTACTGGAACTGATTTGCCAGATCAATTTACAAATTCTTCCTGTCCTCATCTGGTCTAAAATCTGGATTGCTACATATTTCTTAATCTGTAATTTCTGTGCAAATCATCCCTCTGATTTTGGCTGAATATTGCTTTAGGTTGATTGTACCCTATGATTAATAAAAGAGGAAATTCAAGAGACAGAAACAATACTTGATAGACTCAAACCAAACAAAGGTTCAGCATGAGATGCAGAACTCTTTTAGTGTAGATCACTGCATTGGAAATGACTGAAGCTGTTGCATTACACACGGCCAAGTCTTTGTCTTTCTGATCTTTATCTAATTCTAATTACTGGTACACACACACACACACACACACACAAATGAGAGAAACATCTCAGCTATAATTAACCATTCAGAATGGGTTGCACGCACAGAATACAAGAGAAGCGCACAAGAAATTCTGCACAATAGGAATATGGTGAAGTTGAATGGTTCATGGGTCTGGGATAATCCTTTTCATTTGTAGCAGACTGAATTAGCCCATATTCACAGGATAGCTGCAAGGGTATGAAGGCAGGAGAAACCTGGGAGCGAACTACTTGCACCCACTAACCAAAGTGAGAAGCTGCCAGCATGCCTCATGCCAGTGAACCGAACTGCTGCTGCCACTGCAACCTCCAAGGTCAGAAACCAGGAACCTTTACCACCCCATCCAAATATCCAGTGGAGAGGGCAGCTCTGAACCCCAACCTGTTAGGAAGATAGTGAGAGGTGGGGAGCACAGCACAAGAGATGCTGTTTATGACAAGATAGATCCTCTACCCAAACTGTCTCTGAGAATCAAGACTCTGCAGGTAGCTTGGTATGCTCCCAGCACATACTTGGGACGCCAGGCATAAAACACCCAAGCCTTCTGGTCAGACACAGGTCAAGAAATTAACAGGTAGCCTACGCTACCAGAGGCAGAAGCTGAGGCAAACTCAAAGCAGGAAGATCAGTGTACAAGTCTGAAAGAAACTGCCCAGGCTGTTACAGTAAATGACTTTTATTTTTAAAAAAATGAAATAACCGTGAACATATTAACAGGCCTGCAGGTGGCACTACAGTACAGCTGGATATAAGGTAGATACATTTCCCCATGTACCCGGACAATGAAATCCATTGCATCAATGCTGACATTAGTAAATTCTGAATACAGTTCTATCAAGCAGGAACATTTTACTTAAAATAGTTCTGGACAAAGTTGACACTGAAAGTTAACTTTTCCTTCACTTTGGAAAGGATAGATGTTTTCAACTAGCACTGGTATTGGGTGAACTATTGCCTGCAGTCACCAGTGCAGGGAGAGATGTACAACATCTCCACATGAGAACAGAGTTTATACTCCTTTTTACTTCTCATTCTGAGGAAGCAGGGTGGCGCAGGGAGAGGGGGGAAGATGGGTGAGGAATATGGGCAAGGGAGGTGGGGTGTCAATTTCTATTCACTCTCCTTTGGCTGTTTTTGTGCTATTTTGGACTGCTTTCTAAAAATCACTTCTTGATTTTATTGAAAGGAAGACTAAATGTAATGCGCCTTTCCTTGAAAATCCAGGAACAGTTGTGGTACTTCAAAAATACTAAAAATATCTACTTTCATGAAATATTAACTGTTTCACTACAAACCTAGTTTTTCACTAAATACACAATTCTCCTATCTCTGGAGTCTCCTGGGGAAAAAAAGTGGGTTCTCCCTTTATTTCTGCAACTCTACAGTGTATAGAGAAACGGCTACAAGAAGGGGAGTGCAGAGAATAGCTTTATTCTTTTCCTTGGCCTGTATCTCACATGGGAAGTTTGCTTAAATTTCTGCAGTTGGGCTACTGTTGGTCACACTCCTTCAGCAGCTATCAACTAAGTCTGCAGTAGGACAACCCACTTCCAGCACATTCCTTCTAACTTTGTGGAGACTAACTAGGCATGAGGAAAAAAAACATCCACACTCTTTATACCATTTCTAATCATAATATGCAGGAACACCAAGTGGTTTCCATGTTCTTCCAATTTGCAAAAGGCCACAGGAAAGGGACATGGCACCTTTCGTTAGAATCTGGAATTCTGCATGTAACAGTGCGACCTTCCATTAGACCTTCAGTGTTGAGGCAGCGTAGAAAACAGTGGCTGAAGAGTGTGTGTAATACTGACCACACCAGCTCTTAGTGAGAAGCCTCTGCTCCTGCAGAGACAGTCATGTGCAGTCCCTGTATATACTGTGAGCAAAAGGCTTACTTCACAGGGCATTTGGAATTAGCAATTTCTATGATCTAGCTAGTTTGGATTCATGAGCTTTCAGTGTGCCAACAGCATCTTTCACTGCATGGTAGATAATGTTCTTCACCTGTAACAGGAAAAAAAAAAATCAACTTCTACAAACTAAAAAGGAGAGTCTTACATACCTATGCAATCAACTTTGACAGCTGAATTTGTAATAGTTGGCAAGTATACACAAACTATATACTATCACTGCTTCAGGGTATCAACAGCACAAATTTTAACTCTCATGTTTAGACGACAAATATTTTAGACACCCGCACTGATTTATTAACTCATTTTCTGGTCACCCAGCAACATTATTTACTTATGTTATTTTAAGATAAAGTCTCTCTTTCATGAGAGCTAGGACAAAGTATGCTATGAAGTCATGCATATAAGATTATTTTGAAAAAGTCCTTGTGATCCGAGTCACTTACAGATTCAGATAAATCAAACCCAAAAGGAGCATGAAAATCATATGGTTTAACCCTATCTAAATTACGACAATGCAAGAAATCATCCTGTTGACTTTATATGGAGGCTAGAAATTCTTCTAATTTGTGCATCTTCCAGAAATGCATGCAAGATCAGAGATTAAAAAATCCACTAGTACTCACAGCAACCTGTTCCACACTTAGCTATTTAACAATCAAAGCTCTGTCTTGTTTCTGATCTAAGTTTATATGAATTCCATTTCTAGATATTGAACACAACAGTTTCACCTCTAAGTGAGTAGCTTAATTGCACTTGCTCAACTAACTGCCAAGCACCATCATTTTTTCCTAATGTACATATGATCTCAGTCTTTTGTATCATTTATGTGACAGTTATTGTCTCTGTATTTTTTTAAGAGATTATATATAAAAAATAGAGACAGATGTTTATGTAAAAATACTACAAAAATATACATGAAAAATGACAAAGAAAAATGGTAAAGTTTGGCTGTGATGCACAAATACAACCAGTATTCCTTTTCATAGGAGTACTGAGTTCCAGCAGTTGCCAGCAGTTTCTTTTTTTTTCCTCTTCCCCCCCCAATAATAAGCATTATTCATTTGCAACCTATTCATTTACAGAAACACTTCCACATCTGTATCACTACAGCTGAAGAAGTACAGTGTTAGAAGCTGGATCCCCACAATGAGAGTTGATCCTATTTCTGCTTTCCTTTAAAATCCTGTGCAAATCCATACAGAATTTTATAGCAATTTTTCACTGAATTGTTCGAGAGAATTAACATGCTAAGTTCTGACATTCTTGGGTGACATACTGGAGAATGGCTATATATTGAGTACTCACTTTTGCAAGAACAGCCATTCTGCAGATCTCCACCCTCCTTCATTTTACATGCATGAGATTACTAATGCACAAAAAATGCTGACCATGAAATTTGCACACTAAACAGATACTAACTCTTCAGAAGCATACGTAGGTGAAATCAAAAAAGGTCTCCTACGGTCTTCTCTCTGTAGAACTTACCGTCTTATACACAATGTACTACTTCAGTACATAATATGTTCTGTGCATAATTATTAGTTTAAGCAGTCACATTTCTTCAAACTATAACACATTTAATTTTCCTGTTTGGGACTAACTTAGAATCATAGAATCATTTAGGTTGGAAAAGATCTTTAAGATCATCGAGTCCAACCGTAAACCTAACACTGCCAAGGCCATCACTAAACCATACCCCTGATTTAAATAAGCAAGCCTTCACTTTTAGAGCAATCTTCCTTTAGGCAATAAAGAAACAAACACAAGTGTCCTTGGACAAATAAACGTATCTCTTCAAAACCAAGCACTGCTTTTTCCTTTTTAATAGGCTTTTTTTTTCTGCTACGCTTCACTATCGTTCAGGATTCAGCCATTTAAAAACTTATTAATACCGACACATGCACTAGTTCAATAGTGGGAAAGTTCTCCGGAAATCCAAAAGTTTATTACTGACTTTTGTTTACATAATACTGTAGACATAGGTGCATTCATTATTTTTTAAATACTTATCAAACGAGAACCTCCAAAGTTGTGGAAAGTTGTTATTTTTTTCTTAAATCATTAGCCACACTTTTCTAGTACTGAACAAAGCTGGCAAAACACAGGATATGTTCAGTGACTACTGTCATAAAACGGTTACCTGCAGTTTATCCTCATGGTTTGTATGAGTATTAGACAGGTGCCTGAACTCCTGGGTCAGACGGAAGCAGTGCTTCACGTGTTCTGGAGATACAAAATCTTCTGCCACTTTAATGCAGCTGTACAAATTATGGACCTAAAAAAATTCGTATCAAATGATAATCAAGATTGAGTGAACCATACAAAACCCAAAAAAACCCCAAAAAACCCTACCACCCTGTATGCTAGGTTCTTCCACATTTACTTATCAGAAACAGGAACTGAAGCCTATTTGATCTCACGCTGAATTGTGTCTAATGGTAAAAAAAGAACAAAATACACGACATCTTAACATATTCCCTATTCTCCCACATACGCTAGTGTTCCCTAAAGCAAGTTTCTCTACTGTTCTCCATACTTTTTTTGAATTCTGTTTCCTTGGCTGAAGTTTCACTACACAGAAGTGTTTTCCCACCATTCACCCTAATTTTTTTTTCTAAATTCCATCACAGTACTGTACACATCATTCTGGTATTTATACAATTTTTACTAATATAATGACTAAGAGCCAATTGAAATAGCTCCTCTAAGAACTGCACACGTAGAAAAAGGAACCTAAGTCAACAATATTAACTAACAGTTATTTTGAAGTCACAGTTCTGTTGTGCCTCAAATTCAATTCTATTTGTCAATATGGCCTAGAATTGGCATACTTACCTGATGGGGAGCACCTGCAGGAATGAACACAGCATCTCCAAGGAACTGCACTATTGCCCAGCCTTGTACACCATACTCATCATAGAGTCGCTTACGTAAGGTCTGGTCCAAGTACCAACTTTGGTCATGAATGGGGTCATGATCTGGGGGATTTTCTTGGCCTTGTTCTTCTCCAACCTAGGGCCAAGATAAGGGGTGGCTTACAAAAAGCTCTGTACCAAAAAACATAAACTATTTCAAGGTAGGACATTACTTTCATTAAGCTCACTTAGGTCTTAACTAGTGACATGTGCATTAATATGAAGATTCTAGACCAGGTTGAAAACCTGGGAACATAATAACTATTAATGTCCCCAAAGACAGCGTTAGAATACCTATGCAGTTCATGTTGATAGCAATTTCTATCATTTAGCTGCTGTAAGCAAGCTAGTCAAGGAATCCTGTAGGCTCAAGCCTCCTTTGTAACCAACATACCTTCCGGAGAAGTTCCCGTATCTTTTCAGCATCCTTGGCAGCATAGATGTGCCACAATGCTCCAGGTTTCTCTCTTCCTTCATGGATTCGCTGCTTTGTTACATCGTCAGCATCTCCCTCATCAATTGTTTTCAGAACCTCTGAAAGGGGAATCCACATAAAAGCAGTATGATTACAAAGCTTCTGATTTTTGACATATAGAAGAGGAAGGAGCATTTTGAGCCGCTAAATCCAGTCACACTGCTACTGCAACTGCTGTATCATATAGTGCCCTTTCTAAGCACATCAAGCTTTATCTTAACAAAATTCAAGAAATGTGTCAACTGACAGCTAATCACAAAGCTCAGTCATGAATTCAAACTGAACTAACTACAATTATTCAAATACAAGAAGAAGAAAGAGTAATTTATCACCCTTTCTCCTCCTCTTTCTTCGGGAAGATACCTAATTTCTAGCAAAACTGTGCTGCTTCCACAGTTGGGAACCAATAAAGCATTGCTGCACTTTTAAATATGTGCTGCAGACGTAGCAAACTGCCTTGTATATTTGGGTTGTATTTCATAGATACGACAATCTTAAGAAATTAAAGGTACAGTCGTCTTTCTCACACACACAATTGATTTTTAATGGACAGAAAACAGCTTTCCTCAAACATTACCATCATCATGGGTCCCTTCCCCAATGGGAATCCCAACGTACACCATGACATTAACAGCATCAGACACATCCAAGTGCAGGTTTGTGGTACCAACTCGTCTGTCTTCTGCAGTAATTAAGCCTAATAAAACAAAATTCTGTTTAAGCTCTTATAGAAATAACCTGCCTGAAAGATCTTTCTAGAATGCTAACTTCACACAGCAATGAGAGCAGAAACCAATGTCAAAGGGCAGCTGAAGTAGTTATTTTCACATCATGTGCGGCATAATTAAAAAGTTTACTGATAACTAGTATTTTTATTTTACAGGAAATAGAAGTAGCAAATATAGTTCACCCAAGTCATGAGAAAACAAGCATTTTAAAAACAAAGCCCGAACTTGGACTTTACAATTTTGTCTCTCTCGAGGGTCATTTATACAGTCTGTAGTAGGGAACTTAGCTTTCATAATACAAAGTTAGTAGGCATTCTTTGGCACTGTTTTCCTTTGCTTAGAGGTACAAGAGAAACCCCGACTGTTGTAAGTGGCACTAGCATCATACTGTGTGCAGCAAGTCATTGGACTGTTACAAGTACAAGCCTCCAGCAGTTCATTATTTTCTCATACTCAGCTATAAAACCATGTGATCGGTTGAATTCACAGCAGTCATTGTCCAACTCATCATTAACAATTCAGATTACAATTGAGTAAGGAAAAACACCTGCATGCTCTCAAGCGCTTATACCTTTATACATTGGATGATCTTAGCCCTCTCAAGTGGCTATGAGTAATGGAGAAAGATTTCAAATGTTTGCTGCTTAATTCTTTCACCTTCTCATATAACACATACTTCTCTCTTCCTCTGACCCTTCAATAGCACACTCTCTCTCTCTACTTTTGCTTTACCATCTCCTCTAGCAAGTAACATGGGGAAAAAAATTAAACTATTAAAAAAATCTTTGTATCAACAAACACTAACGTAATATGACCACAAGACTACTGGTTATGTTTTAGGATCACCATTGTATTTATCTCTTTTCTATTTAAAATATAAGCTTCTGGGGAAAGGAACTCAATTCACTGTACAGTACCTATCATAACAGACCAGAAACAGTAGTTAATTTAGACAGTTTGTAACATGAACTTTAAGAAAGCACAACTGAAATACAAACACGGATAAACATAATATATAGGTTCAAAAAACAGGCCAGACAAATTCACAAAAGATAGGTTAATTATTGACCTCAAGTAAGGGCCCTTACAACCTCCACCCCAAAACTGTGCTTTGCCAGATGCAGCAGGATGTAATTTAAGAAGTGTCACTCTAACTCTTTCCTATTTGCTAGTGGTCTAAGTCACACAGAGTATGCTGGGAAATACAAATACAACATCAATGGCAAGTCATATGTTGAACAGTTCAGGTATTTATATATAAAATTGGTCAATATTTAAGGGTCCTTTACACACAAAACCTGTTGAAGGGAATAAGATTTCTTCATGGTTAACTTCTGTAAACAGTCCTTTTATTTAGGTAACTGGGTATCACTTTAAGAATCCACACAGAGTATGCTGGGAAATACAAATACAACATCAATGGCAAGTCATATGTTGAACAGTTCAGGTATTTATATATAAAATTGGTCAATATTTAAGGGTCCTTTACACACAAAACCTGTTGAAGGGAATAAGATTTCTTCATGGTTAACTTCTGTAAACAGTCCTTTTATTTAGGTAACTGGGTATCACTTTAAGAATCAAGCTCCAATCACAATTTTTCTATCTTAATGCTTTAAAATGCTAAGTGCACAAAGGACTTTATCTCACTATTGAGAACTTTTTTCCTCCACATATTCAGAAAACAAAGCCATATATTTACAACCAAAATACATTTAATACACTAGAAAAGTTATGCTTATTCACCATAGACAGAATTACTGTTTTTATATCTAGGGCCACCCTTTCATTTGTCTGTAAAGCAGCTAAGAGCAAAAAGATACAAAACTGTTTTTGAAGACAGACCTAGCTAAATTTTTTCTTTTAACTTGAAAGTAAACAAAGTGTAATACTTTCTCTCTTCGAACGAAGACCTATACATCTAAGAAGGATCAAATAGTAGAGGGTTACATTCTACGCTAAAAAAATACCGTCAACACTCCCTCCACAAACTCTGATACAAAGGAAAAGAAAACTTCGACATTTAAGATAAATTCAACAAAATGAATCCATTTCTTCCATTGCTAGCAACTAGCAATACACAAAGACAAGTTAGCCATCACTGATTACCTTGCTTCTTGCTGCACTCATATATATATTGCTTGATTACATTATAAGCTCTTCGGTGTACAGCCTTCTTCACTCAACTTACATGTCAAGTAATACATAAACCAAAACACTGAACACCGTTCAATACTGAATAAGCTCCATTTGCCTAAGTTCACAAACCCCTAAGTTCATACAGGCAGCTGAACACGGTGACAGTTTTGATTTGCATGTTGTCTGTGGTCTGTGTTGTTAGAACCCTGGTTGGAAACACTAACAAACCCCTGGTTTTTTTAACTCTTATTTGTGACGTCATACTGCTAAAAAAACCCAAAATAACCCCACAAACACTTTCTCAGACCTGCAATATGTTGGTTTACAGCTTAAGTCTAATCCATATTTGGTTACTGAGCTAAAACATTTTTTAAAAAAGACAAAACAATGAAAAATCTTTCATGTCCTCAGGTGAGTTGTTACTGTAGGTGTATCGATAATTGGAATGCAAAACCTTAAAAAAACCCTGTCTCATAAATATTCAAAGAGAGATACAGAAGTTACATTAAGGTAAGTTTGCTTCACATACTTGCTTTGCAAGATGGCTGTAACTTTTTCCTTATCAGTATCACTTGACATTTTTCAGTATATACAAAAAGCAACTACTTTATCTTACTCTAAAGTTGCAAAAGTACACACTTCCAAATCAATTGGTTATTTAAAAGTATCCTGGAACTTTAACAATCATTTGTTTTAAATTAAAAGTCTCCAAAACGTGCTTTTGGCCATGACCTCAAAGTCAGTACATTCAGGAACTGAAATAATTCAAGTTGGTATGAAATGCATTAATTGTTCATATATTCTCCACACTCTGCTATATTGACAATCATTTGAAAATTTAATGCTTCACAGCCCTTCACACGGTATGTGTTCAGACAAAGGTTTCCTCCATTTGTATGCTATGTACCTACTATATAATTACAGTCTTAAGAGGACAAAACTATCCAATACAGGCAGCTGAACACGGTGACAGTTT